TGTAGAAACAAACAAGACAATTTAGGTTTTCAAAGAGATTGACTCTCTCTCTCTCTCTCTCTCTCTCTCTCTCTCTCTCTCTCCTTTACACACACACACACACACACACCTACCTCCTTAATTTGGCACTCTATTATTTCCACAAAGCATTGTATCTTACACACCCTTGCAAGTAAAGCCCCCCCCCACACACACACTCTCACAAATCACCCCCTCCACAGACACACACACACAGACATACATACGCACACACATACACATCCGTACATACAGGTACACAAATCATCACCACACACGTAATAATAATAATAATAATAATAATAATAATAATAATAATAATAATAATAATAATAATAATAATAATAATAATAATAATAATGGTTGCCCCTCGTGTACGAGGATGGCCGGCCCTAGGGCTACCTAGGCGTGAATTTGTTTAAGGTGTAGAAGCTGTTGCCAACGCAACAACCACACCCTGAGTTAACGAGCTGCATGACCCACTGTCAAGGAATAGTCCGAGAAGACCGGACATCCAGGTTCCCAATTACTGCTGGGTAGACAGAGGCAAATGGCGTAAAGAAACTTGCCCATAGTTTCACCACTCACTTGAAAGGCGAGCATGCTTACACACACACACACGTAAATCACTCCCTACATACACATATTCTGAGAAAAAAATAGACCAAGTGTTCGTAATATATCACGAATCCAGGAAAAAGAGTCACAGAACCTTACCTAACCTAACCCAACCTTGTCTATTTTATTGCTTTAATTGTTAATAATATTTAAATAAAACGTGACTTTTTTTTCCCTAGTTAAAATTGTGACTTTACTTCCGTTCACGACATTATCACGTGATTGTACCGAGATCAGGACAGGTTGGACGATAAGACACCGCCCTGGGAACACTCTATAGCCAACAAAGAACTTCACTTACCTACAGTACCTACCCAGGCCGTAAAACACGTCCTAACTGGCGTTTACAATTATAATAAAGACCATTTTAGGATATTAGTATTGACCAACCATTATAAGAGGCTATCAGGTAGTTGGCGGGTGTTTTTTTTAACGCAAAATAACAGTACTAATTAGTGATGGTGTAATTGGTTTCTTTTGCTGGTATCTGGTACCATTATCACTTAATACTGACACCAAATCACACACGTAGCGGTTGATTATAGAAAACGCGTCATCTATTAAGCCTTGGCGGGTGAGTCAATGTTTACCAGGAAAGAACAAACATGGCCGCCACCTTTCCTAAGCCCCGGCCCGCCCCACTCCAGCCCAACCCCACCCCACCCCACCCCGCTGATTGCCTCTCTCAGATCCCATATAGTTTTTGTTGACATGGGGCGACATATCACCTAGAGGGCCATTGGGGTCATGTAATTAGCTGCGTAACATCCAAGCAGCGTTACGGTATATAATCATCAGGGATATAAGCTAAGGGTGCCTAATCTTCACGTGACCTTTACTATTGCTACCATCCTCACTACTCAGAACCAAAGCTCAGAATACCCTAGTACAATTATGGGTAGTTAAGTCATCATCACCTTGGTACCACATACACACAGACACGCAAACTACCACTTGTGTTGTTTAGTGTAGTTGCCACAAATGTCAAGTACACCATGAGATGCTGTTATGATTGGTCAATGTATTCCACTCTCTCACTGTATAGCATCCATCCAACCATCCACTTGCCCATCCATCCATCCACATCAAACCACCTACACCATACTATCCACCCATCTAGATCTGTCAACTATCCATTCAACTATCCACCACCTTATACCAGCCATCACACATCTGTTTATCATCCACCCAACTACCCACCCGTCCACCTATCCATCTACCCACACCACACCATCTATCCACCCACATCTGTCTGTCTACTAACCACCCACTCACTCACCCACCCATCTATCTACCCACACCATATCACCGACCCACCCACATCCGACTCTAACACAACCACCACAGTACTAACCACAGTGACCACAAGAGATAATTATACCCTAATCACCACGTTGGCTATTAACCACGACTACTAACTACCACAATTGCCACCACCATTACCACCCTCAGAGACAGTTAGCTACCATCATCCCCCACCATAATCTCCACAACCACCATCATTTCCATCCACAGCCATCAACAACCATTCACAACAACAACTACTACCATAACTAACAACAATCACCACCTACAACCACCACGACCACCAGCCCAGCAGGAAAAAATTATGAAGAACAACGTCAGCAGCAAAAACGTCAGCTACACCAATGTCAGCAACAAGTGTCAGCTCATACACCTACAGAACCACTATACACATGCGAAACTGTGTACCTACATTGTTTATATACTTACCGAACCAATTGTAAACTCGTATAACTAATTTCTTGAATATGTATGTATGTATGTATGTATGTATGTATGTATGTATGCATGTATGTATGTATGTATGTATCGGGCTGAGAGAGAGAGAGGAACTACACCCCCAGCTGCCTGTGTGTACGCTTCTGGGTGTATCGCTTAGTGACTGTGTACACAAACACCTTCCCGGCCGAATCAGCAGGGACAGTCTTGGCGCCACGATCCATCACCAAATGAATATGATGTATTTCTTTGTGTATGAACCTCTGTCCTGCGTGTCAGTGAGATGTGATACCACCCTCAGTGAAAAGACCTGACTTGAATTACTCAGAATAGGCAAACTGTACTATAAGCTTTGTCAATAAATTTGTTAAAACTAAAAACCAGAAGGAGGGGGAAGAGGGAAAGGGAGGGGGAAGAGGGAAAGGGAAGGGGGAAAGTGGAAAGGATGGAGGGGAAGAAGAGGGGAGATGGAAGGGGTAAGGGGGGGAGGAGAAAAAGGTGGGTGGAAGAGGGAAGGGGGGGAAGGGGGAAGGAGGGAAGGGGAGAAAAGGGAACGGGGAAAGAGGGAAAGAGGGAAAGGGGGAAGAGGAAAAGTGGGGGGAGGGAAAGGGAGGGAGGGAAGGAGGGGTTAAGTGGAGAGAAGGGGGAAGGGAAAGGGCGTTGTAAAAGAAAGGGAGAGGGAGAGGCGATAGGAGAGAAGGGGGAAGGGAAAGAGGGAGGAAAATGCAGACGAAAAAAATGGAATGGGAGATAGGATAAGGAGAGAGAGAGAGAGAGAGAGAGACAACAAGGTCAGGCTGTGGTCGACACATAATATCTCAATCAGTCTAAATTTGGGTAAATATGAGAGAGTTCGTGGGAGTGTAATATCCTTTGTTATTTTGCTGTGGCGTTGTGCTATAATGGCGTGACGTTGCAGTGACGTAGTGCTGTTGCTGTGACGTAGTGCTGTGACGTAGTGGTGTTGCTGTGACGTTGTGATGTATTTCTGTATTTATATGTATATTTGTACTGTAAGTGTATATATTCCTGTAATTTACCTGTAATATATATTCATAAACTGTATTTGTATCGGTATTCTTATCTTCAACTTAAAAGAACTTAAACTGAAGTACCTGTGATATATATAATTAAAAGATACCTGTAATTTACCACCAATCACTGACCTGATAATTCCACCAATCACTGAGTCTTTATTCCCACTCTTCCTCTTATCTTATCTTATCTCGAGGCTCTTACATCTCTGTTTACTGTACTTTCTCTCCCTAAGTGCATGGCGGGGGGGTGGGGAGGAGGGGTGAGACGGGAAGTGGTATAGGAGGAGGGTAGGGGAGGTGGATGAGGGGAGGAGGAGAGGACGGGGTAGTGGGGGGTAACGGGGGATGATGGAAGAGGGAGGTGGGGGGAAGGGGTAGTGGTGTAGGGGGAGGTGAGAAAAGGTGTGGGTAGATTGTGGTGGGGGAAGGGAGATGGGAGTGATGAGAAGGGAGGTTGTGGAGAGGGGGTGATGGGTGAGTGAGGAAGGGAAATATCTAGTGGTGGAGGGGAGAAGAGGAGGTGGAGAGGGAGGGGGGTGGTGGTGGGGGAAGGCAGGGTGGTGGTGATGGAGGATGGGGTGAGCAAGGAAATGGTGTGGTGGGGAAGAAGTGTGGGAAAAAGGGGAAGATGGTATAGTGAGGGAGGGGAAGGGGAGGAGATGGGGAGGGGAGGAAGTGGTAAGAGAGATGGGGGTGAGGATAGGGGAGTGTGGAGTGTAGTGGATGAGTGAGGGGGGGAGGGAGGGGGTGAGTTCTCCAAGACAGTGTTGCCAATTTATCCGGGCATCCCCGAGTCTTTGAAATAAGAATCTGTTTTAAGAGTCATCATCAGGGTTTAACTGGCACCGTTTTATCTAAGGAATGCCAGTTCTTTAAGAGGCCACGAGTATCACCTTCTAACTGGCACTAATTTCCTGTTTACTTCAAGGAATTTAAGTTATTTACAGCCACGTGGTAGAATCAGTTCACCTGGCGTAGGTAATTAAGGCAGTAAGGTAACACGGTATGTATTTGGTTACCTGAGTTAAAACTATCTACGTCAATTTAATTCGGTTAAAAAAAATCACCTGGAGATTCGTCACCTAAAGCCAATTTCACCTGAAGATTAACCTTACCCCTTAAAATCAGTTAAGAAGTTAGTTTTTCAAGAAGTTAGGTTAGTGTTAGTTAGGTTAGTGTTAGAAGAAGTTTAAGAAACATAAATCAGCATCAAAATCTATAATAAACGAATATAACCCCCCCACTGCATACAACAATAAAACCCGGAACTAGGGATGGACTAAACGAGGTGAATTGATTAAGTACATGGTTAACTAGGAAGGTATGGGGGGGGGGAGGTTATGGTCTAGTTATAGATGAAGGAAACTAGTAGAAGCTATTTTTTTTACTTAAAGATGGCAAACAATATCAAAGAACAATTTTTTTTGACAAAGAAAAAAACCCTGACTATTTCTGACTCGTGGGGAAAAAAATGCGACTTAACAGGTTACTTCGCTACAAGAATACAAATTAAGAGCACACACACACACACACACACACACACACACACACACACACACACACAAGAGGTCAAAATCCACTTACTTTTCTCCCACTTGTCTCTGAGGCCAGCGAGGGAGGACATGATCTTGACGCGGTGAGCCTGATGCCTTACACCCAGCTCCTTGATGGCCGCCTCATCATAGTAGAGGATGTCCTGTAGGTGAGAGAAGGTGAGAAAAGGTGAGAGAAGGTGAGAGAACGTGAGAGAAGGTGAGAGGAAGGTGAGAGAAGGTGAGAGAAAGAAAGAACGAACGAACGAGAGAGAGAGAGAGAGAGAGAGAGAGAGAGAGAGAGAGAGAGAGAGAGAGAGAGAGAGAGAGAGAGAGAGAGAGAGAGAGAGAGAGAGAGTATTAATGAACTAAAAATAAGTTAAGAGATTTGAATACATAAGAGGAATAACAGTAAAGTGTATTAAAGGCAATTAACAGTTGAATAAATAAACGAATATATGAATAATAATGAATAAATCTTCCTTCCTTCTCCCCCTCTTCCCCCTTCTCCTCTTCCTCCTCCTCCGCACTCGCCTCCTCCCTCTCCTCACACGTATTGACCTCTTCTACCTACTCTTCCTCCTTCTACGCCTCCTACTCCTTACCATCTCCCTCCTCTTCACTTTTATTACCCTCTTCTTCTACCTCTCTTCTCCTCATATCATCCTCTTATCTCCCTTCCCCCCTCTCTTATCTGCCTTTCCCTCCTCGTTTTTTACCTCTCTCTCTTGCCCCTTCCTCCCCTCACCCCCTTTTTTTCCTTCCTTCACTTGCTTTTCCTTCCTTCCCTCACCTCACCTCCCCTTCCTTTCTTCCTTCCCCCACCTCATCTTCCTTCCCTCACCTCCCCTTCCTTCCCTCCCTCATCTAGAACATAAGAACATAAGAATGGAGGAAACTGCAGCGGGCCTATTGGGCTTGGCCCATACTGGGCAGTCCCGTTTACACCCAACCCCTATTGCTCATATGAGCATCCAACCTATGTTTGAAGCAATTCCTTCCTTCCCTTATTGCCCTTACTTCTCCCACCCCTCTTCCTTCCTTCCCTCACCTCCCCTCTCCCTCACACTCCACTTGCCTTATCATGACCGCCGTCCACCCGGGCCACCAACGTTAAGTAAACAAATCAATATTTAGGCTATTTTCACTCCCCTACGTCCTGGAGGGGGAGGTTGGGGGAGGGTAGAGGGGAGGGGAGGGGAGGGGAAGGGTGTGGAGGGGGAGGAGGAGGAAGGGTAAAGGAAAAGAGAGGTGAAGAAGGAAAGAAGAAGGAAAGATGTGAGTGGGAGGGAAAGGGTGTATGGAGGAGGAAGGGAAAGAGGAGTAGAGGAGAGGGAGAGGGGAAGGGAGGGGAGGGAGAGAGGAAGGAGTGTGGAGCGGGAAGGGGTGTGGAGAGGGAAGGGTGTATGGAGAGGGAGGGTGTGGATGGCAGCTAATGGTCACATCACCTTCATAATTAAGTCGTTCATGTTTAATTAATTCCATAAATCTCCTGGCATTATTTCCCTAATATTTCCTAGTTAACATTTTTATTTACTATTTCATCTTATTTGTATTGTATTAATAAATTCAATGTTTCGCTTCTATATATTTTTTTTAATAATTACTTTTACTATTCTTGTATATTCTTCCATTTCTCCTTTCCTTTTATTACGATCTTTATTAATATTTGTCATTATAAATTTTTACTATAAGTTCTCAGTGTTATTTTGAGACCGTTTCTGATGTTAGCGTTAAGTCCTCACGCCTCCCATCGTAGTTACTGGTTTAGAGACCCAAATTGTTTGACTTTGACTCTGATGCCTTTTGTTTAGGTAGAAAAAAAAAAGAAGTGTAGTGATGAAGATCTAAGAGGTGAAATTATAAATAAAGTGGGAGAATTAAAAGAATCTGGGCTCAATCAGATCGCTGCGTGATGTTTTCTGTCGTCCAAGTTGTGTTTTTGTTGTATACTGTAATACGTCGTCAGTCTTTTCTTAGGGTGTTTAGAGAGAGAAATACTTATATAGTAAATAAAAGGAAGGGGGTTGGAGAAGCCTGCTAGGTTCTTGTGAAGCTGGCAGTCATTCTTATCTTTTGCAATTTTTTTTCACTTGGCTGTATGTATAAAAAAAACTACATGGAATTGTTAGTAGTTCAGAAATAATAATTGTTAAACGGACAGGTGCTAGAGAGCCCAAATTGTTGAGGCGCAGTAAAAAAAATAGCATCTAAGTTATTGAAGGACAGTAAAACAAAAGAGCATCTAAGTTATTGAAGGACAGTAAAACAAAAGAGCATCTAAGTTATTGAAGGACAGTAAAACAAAAGAGCATCAGTATCACCTTTGAGAATCTATCGTCTGACTCTTGGATCCGGTGGGTGAGTCAACACGACATTAATGGACGGTTTTCTTCACAGATTTATATTTTTTACTATTTTCCTTGACTCTTGTGAGGCGGAAAAATACAAAAACACTCCAGCTGATGACTTTCTCTAGCGAGGAAGATGTCGAGAGTCTTGCTCAACCAACAGTGCATAAAATGGCATCGTTGTTATGTTCGTAAAATCATTCAATCATATAGACTTTGGACCGTAAAATAGCGGTCTATATTTTTATCAGTGACGAACAAAATATTTAATCCAATGACTATAAAATACATCTACTTTGTATACATTTGATTCTTTTTTAAATTAATGGAAGTATTCTTTTAAAAATTTCTAGCTAAATAAAAGTTTCTAGCCATTTTATCGAGCGCCAAAAAAGTATCTTAACGATTTTGTGCGACAATATGACACAGCGGACGAAGGATTTTGACAACCCTACCGAGACAACAGGAGTCGAGATGTTCATTGTGAAATCCATCGGACTCCTTCCTAGAGATACTTTCTGGAACAAGTACTACTATATTGACACTGAGGGACACACACACACACTGGTCGACCATGGGAGCCTCGCTTTAATGAGACAACTTAACAAACATGTGGACGATTCTTATATGTTGTTATTTACGTTTCACTTTCTACCTTTACCTTATCGAGTCAAGTCTTACAGTGTGGGGATGATTCAGATGCCTCAACCAGTGACGTCACACAGGTAGGAGCGAGGATGGGCGTGGGAACGAGAGAGAATAATACACAGGTGTTAAATATAAACTGCCGTGTGACTATTACCTTAAACATACCAGCGCAGGTGTTCACTCGAAGAAGTCAATTAGGAAGACAAAGATTAAGTAATTCAATGATAATAAGTTACAATAGTCTTTTTATATCATTGAATAGTAAAGGCTCACAGGAACATTAGACACCCCAGTTTATTCCACCTGTTGATTAAACACCCTAACGCTACCTGGGGGAGGTTAGATTAGGTTAACAATAAGTTTAGGTAGGTTAGGTTAGGATAACATTAGTTTAGGTTAGATTAGATTAGGTTAGATTAGGTTAGGTTAGGTTAGATTAGGTTAGTTAGGTTAGATTAGATTAGGTTAGGTTAGGTTAGGTTAGGTTAGATTAGGTTAGGTTAGGTTAGATGAGGCTAGATTAGGTTAGGTTAGGTTGTATAGTTAGGTTAGGTTAGTGTTAGAATATTTAACAATCAGGTGAAATAAATTGGGGTGCCTAATCACCTGCAGGGTGAGCCAAAATAACACTAAACCTTAACATTAACCTCAAGACACAGGTAACATAGATACGAGGTGTGAGTGACCCAGGTGTAGTGGAGGTGGATGACCCAGCTTCACCCCCAGTCACTCACATCAATGCTGGAGGAGTTCTGCCTACCACCTCAACACCCAGTTCCCAGTCACTCATCTCAACGCCATGAGTTCCCCAGTCACTCACCTCAACACTGAGTTCTCAGTCACTTATCTCAACGCCAAGGAGTTCCCCCAGTCACTCACCTCAACACCGAGTTCCTCAGTCACTCATCTCAACGCCGAGGAGTTCCCCCATTCACTCACTTCAACATCCAGTTCCCCCAGTCACTCATCTCAACGCCAAGGAGTTCCCCCAGTCACTCACCTCAACACCGAGTTCCTCAGTCACTCATCTCAACGCCGAGGAGTTCCCCCATTCACTCACTTCAACATCCAGTTCCCCCAGTCACTCACCTCAACGCCGTCGAACCTTGAGAAGAACCCAATGTACTGCGGGAGGTCGAGGGAGGTGAGCCAGGACTTGCACTCCAGGTGAGGACGTCGAGGCAGCCACGACATCCTGCGCAGGGAGGCACCGCGACGCAGGCTTGACACCAACGACCCGCCTGTAGAAGGTAAGACCAGAGGTTACTTCGTGTGCTGGTGGTGGTGGTGGTGGCAGTGGCGGTAGTGTGGTGATGGTGGTAGTAGTGGGGGTTGTGTGTGTGTGTGTGTGTGTGTGTGTGTGTGTGTGTGTGTGTGTGTGTGTGTGTGTGTGTGTGTGTGTGTGTAAATCAACAAAATATAATCTTATTCTTACATAGACCAATACACTCTACCAGACGCTCAACAGTATACCTGAAATATGACACAGCTAAGAATATGACACTAATAGAATGGACGATACTTAAAAATTACAAATATATTATCAATTATTCCTATTCTCTTTTCTTTAATACATTTTTTTTCTCTCTTTATTTTTTTTTTACATCAGCTAAATTCCTTTCCCCAGAACCCCTTACCACAACAGCCACAGGTTCTTAGGTTCTAGTCAGTATCGGTAAAGTAGACAAACTGCTGAACCAATATAAAAAAAAATATCGAGAAAAAAAATAATTGATGGATGATAGGAAAGAAGACCAAACACAAACACGATGGAGTGGTTCGGTCTGTACACAACGCCATCTTAAAGTGACGTGTGTTGAGTCTCCTACATCAGTCAAGTACCTAAGAAAAACTTACATATTTATCAATCAACACCAAAGCCCTTTTTCTCCAGAACACTTATTGATGAATTGAATTTTTGGGGGGGGGGGGTAATTTTACAGCTGCTAGTTTATCGTACACCCTATACTCATCCTGTGAGCGGTATAGGGAGAAAAAGGATTACAGAGGTCACAAAGGATGTTTATCAGATCCTTCGAGTAGTCAGAGAAACAACTTCTTCTTAAACATGAAGGAACAACTCAGGAACAATAAACTGAGTCACTTATGAAGGAACAACTCAGGAACAATAAACTGAGCCACTTATGAAGGAACAACTCAGGAACAATAAACTGAGTCACTTATGAAGGAACAACTCAGGAACAATAAACTGAGTCACTTATGAAGGAACAACTCAGGAACAATAAACTGAGTCACTTATGAAGGAACAACTCAGGAACAATAAACTGAGTCACTTATGAAGGAACAACTCAGGAACAATAAACTGAGTCACTTATGAAGGAACAACTCAGGAACAATAAACTGAGTCACTTATGAAGGAACAACTCAGGAACAATAAACTGAGCCACTTATGAAGGAACAACTCAGGAACAATAAACTGAGTCACTTATGAAGGAACAACTCAGGAACAATAAACTGACTCACTCGTTCATAGTCCCTTAATCCTGTCAGCTAAATGTTCCTTTATGGTTGGTCATGTGAGAATGTACTCAAGTCTCACCTAAGCATTGATGTATAAGTTACGGTGGGCAAAATGGCTTCAATATTGGTCTGAGACTAGAGTTAAGAGGTGTGTGTGTTTTTTCTCATTCCAAGTGAAGGATGGAGGCAAATTTTACGCTCGAATACCACCCCCCACTCTCTCTCTCTCTCTCTCTCTCTCTCTCTCTCTCTCTCTCTCTCACTCACACACACACACCCACACACACCTTAGAGTATATATACACACAAGACCTTTCTAATCAAACAGTGAGGACCGTCATGCTGGCTGGCCAAATAGAGGTCCGCGACACACACACACACTAGTCTTCCCCCTCTTGGTAACCTGAACTTGTCTTGGTGTTGCTTGTGAGGCGAAGAGACAGCCCATGTAGCTACGATCTGCTCTCTCTCTCTCTCTCTCTCTCTCTCTCTCTCTCTCTCTCCCCCCTGTAGCAATGGCGGCAAGAATTAACGAAAAACTGAAAGAGAGAGAAACGGAAAGAGAGAACAAGAGGGAGAATAGAAAATGAAAGGGAATTTGAGAGAAGATGGAGAGAGAAAAACAAGATTAGAGAAGATGAAGAAGGAGAAGGTGATGAATATGGTAATTAAGAGGAGATGAAGAAGAAATGAGGGAGATAATTAAGGTGAAAGTGAACGTAGGAAGAACGGAAACAGGAAGAGAGAAAGGGAGGAAGAGAAAGCAAAAAAAACAATTAAAAGTGAGAGAGAGAGAGAGAGAGAGAGAGAGAGAGAGAGAGAGGATGATTGGGGTGAACACCTGCTACCACCAAGACCATCACCACTACTACCACTACCACCACTATCAACACCACCACCACCACTACTACTACTACCACCATTACCACCATCACCACAAGTACTACCACATCCACGACTATCACTGTTTAACCACCATCACCACTACCACTTCCACCACCATCCCCACCACTACACACACACTCACACACACACAGGTAACATGGCCACACACACAGGTAACATGGCCACACACACAGATAACATGGCCACACACACAGGTAACATGGCCACACACACAGGTAACATGGCCACACACACAGTAACATGGCCACACACACAGGTAACATGTACACACACACAGGTAACATGGCCACACACACAGGTAACATGGCCACACACACAGGTAACATGGCCACAAGTAACAATACAACACAGGTAACATGGCCACACACAGGTAACATACACACACATATGCACACACACAAGTAACATGGCCACACAACAGGTAACATGGCCACACCTCGCCTACATTACCTGTTGCTTCTACCTGATGAATAATAATCATTATCACCAACCACCACATCAGCCAGTCAACCACCACGTCAGCCAGTCAATCGCCATGTCAGCCAGTCAACCACCACGTCATCCAGTCAACCACCACGTCATCCAGTCAACCACCACGTCAGTCCAGTCAAACACTACATCATCCAGTCAACCACTACGTCATCCAGTCAATCACGACGTCAGCCAGTCAACCACGACGTCAGGCAGTCGTCAGCCGAACCAAGACGTCAGCCAGTCAACCACGAAGACAGTCAACCACGACGTCAGGCAGTCAACCACGACGCCAGACAGTCAACCACGACGTCAGGCAGTCAACCACGACGTCAGCCAGTCAACCACGACGCCAGACAGTCAATCGACGTCAGTCAGTCAACCACGACGTCAGTCAATCAACACGACGCAGCCAGTCACCACGACGCCAGACAGTCAATCGACGTCAGTCAGTCAACCACGACGTCAGTCAATCAACCACGACGTCAGCCAGATAGATACACATCCAGAGTCAAAAGTGACCTGAGAAAAAAGAGAGAGAGAGAGAGAGAGAGAGAGAGAGAGAGAGGCGCGTGGACCTAACAAGAATGTAATCAAAACATTTCTTTACGGTAGGGAAACTTTCTCCCAGATAACTAGACCAAACGTGTAGATAATTGAAATATCTCTCTCTCTCTCTCTCATACACACACCTAGACAATCTGTTACCTTAATGAGTGTCTCTTGACCCCGTTGGAAGCTTCGACTCGTGTAAGCTTCGAACAAGATTCGTTCAATGTTGACACCAGAGCATTTAACTAACCTATCCTGACCTGACCTAAACTGACCTAATCAAACCTGACCTAACCTAACCTAACCTAACCTAACCTAACCTATCCTGACCTGACCTGACCTGACCTGACCTAACCTAACCTAACCTAACCTAACCTCTTATACACAACTACAGGTATATCAAAAGGACACAACATTCCATACACTGACAATAATAACAAAAAACCACAACATAACATCAACAACAAATAACTATTACACCCAACATTAACAACCACAACATAACATAGAACAAAAACTAACCCAACAGTACAACAATAACAACAACTACAACAAGAAGAACAACAAGTATCCCAACAGTAAAACAACAACAACTAAAAAGTACAACAACAAATTACAACAATAACAACAACTACAAAACAACAACAACAACAACTTCCCCAACAATAACAACAAGAAATTACAACAATAACAACAACAAATAAAAAAAATACAACAAATTACAACAATAACAACAACAACAACAAATTACAAACAATAACAAAACAACAATAAATTACAACAATAACAACAACCACAACAAGAGAGGAATAAAATACAGTGATCGAACTTTCACTTTAGCTAAGATGATTTTCCACACTTTCTCTTTCACTGCAGCTCAGAAAAGGTGACTGTAGCGCCACGATGAAACGAAGCCAGGCGACACACACACACACACACACACACACACACACACACACACAGACACACACACACACACACACACACACACACACACACACACACACACACACACACGGGAGAATGAAAAGGTTTGCATGAATGGAAAGGAAGAGAGAGGGAAATGAGAGGAGGAGAGAGAGGCGGAAGAAGGAGGGAGGAAGGGAAGAGAGAGAGAATAAAAGAAGAAAACAAGAAAACATAAACAATTACATTATTAATTATTATTATTATTATTATTATTATTATTGTTGTTGTTGTCGTTGTTGTTGGTTTTTATTGTTGTTTTGTTATTGTTATTGGTATATCAACTCTAAAGGATATATACCCACTGTTAATTTATATTATAAACATTATAACACAGTGGTGATACTGGTATTTGTTCTCAACCAAAGAAAATTGACAAACTGATGATGATTATATATGTGTGTGTATGTGTGTGTGTGTGTGTGTGTGTGCCCCTCTCTCTTCCTCCCCCTTTTTCTCCTTCTCTTTCCTTTCCATTCATTCAATCTTCGTTTTACTCTCTCTCTCTCTCTCTCTCTCTCTCTCTCTCTCTCTCTCTCTCTCTCTCTCTCTCTCTCTCTCTCTCTCTCTCTCTCTCTCTCTCCTCTCACTCTCCTCACTCTCTCCCCACCCTCACTCCCTCCCCTCACCCTCTCCCTCACTCCTCACCCTCACCCTCACTCCCTCACCCTCTCTCCCTCACCCCTCACCCCTACCCTCACCTCTCCCTCACCCCTCACCTCACCCTCACTCCCCACTCCTCACCCTCCCTCACCCCCACCCCTCTCTCCCTCACCCTCACTCCCTCACCCTCACCCTCTCCTCCCTCCCTCACTCCTCACCCTCTCACCCTCTCTCCTCACCCTCACTCTCACCCTCACTCCCT